CCAAAAGTGTGTTTCAGAAACGTAGAGAAAAGAATCAGAAGCTGTGATTCCCGAGACAATATAGTTTAAGCGGTTTTAAAACCAAAGCCCTGACAATAAAGTCATAAATTATCTTGAATAAAAAAAAAAAAAGAGGGCAGCATCTAAAAATAAAAGTGGCAGCACAGGGAGCCCTCTGAAATCTGCACATGGAGTTCAGTTCTCATGCTCTTGGAAAACTACTGGCATACTTTTAAAGTGTACGCATGTGAATCTAGTGGGGCGGGGTGGTGAAGACAGAGCCTCTGGAGTCAGGCAGCATTTCAATCCCGCCCCTGCCACCTACCGGCTGTGTGACCTTGGATCGGTCGCCTAGCCTTTCTGAGCTCTGAAATCTAGGCTTGTAAAATGGGGACAACAGTATCTACTTGATAAGGAGGCTTTGTGTAAGGAGGCTGTGTGTGTGAAATCTGCATGAGAAGGGCTAACACACAGTAAGTGCTCAATGTTAGCCGTTATTACGATTCTACAAAAAAAATACAAGGAGATGGTGTTGATTAAAGGGCAGCTGCAGCCCTAGCTGGTGTGGCTCAGTGGTTAGAGTGTCAACCCGCACACCAAAGGGTCTCGGGTTTGATTTCTGATCAAGGGCGCGTACCTGGGTTGCAGGTTGGATCCCTGGCCCTGGTCAGGGTGCGTGCAGGAGGCAACCAATCGATGTGTCTCTCTCACATTGATGTTTCTCTCTCTCCCTCCCTCCCTTCCATTCTCTCTAAAAATCAATGGGAAAAAAAAAATATCCTCGAGTGAGGATGAACAAAAACAGGAAACAGGCCACTGCGAAAGGAAAGCTCAAATGGGTAAGAACCATACTGGGGTGGTTCAAGACACGTGACCCAACACTTGTGAAACCTGTGAGGAACACACAAGGGTCGTTTTGGCAAAATCATCGAGGAAGGTAGCCGCCATCAGGCCGGGGACAGCCAGCGTGTTGTCCGTGGGAACAGAGGAAGGGCAGGGTAGGGACCCCTGTCACTGCCGTCTCCCTCGGAGCCACATGCTTGAGTGACAGACACTGGGATGGAGCTGGAGGCCGAGAAGGCTCACTCCTCACACCTGGCCTGAGCCCTGGTCTCCCCGTGACGAGACAGGACACCGGCAGCCCTGCGGACCGATGTCGGAGCCTTGATCTCCGAGAGCCTCTTCTGAAGGTTCACGGGGAAAGGCAGGGGTCAGGAGCCTGTGGCAGGGTAGATGTGGCTCTGATCTTCAAAACCAGGGGAAAGGACACTTTAGAAAGTGCAGAGGGGCATGTGGCGTCCATCCCTGGCAGAGTTCTAGGAGCAGTGATGAAACTGAGATGATTATTGCAGTGGACTCCTAACTGGCTGCTCTGCTTTGCCCTCAAGCACCCCCCTTCTCCGTCTAGCAACCAGAGGGATCCCCTTAAGGCAGATCACACTGTCTGCTCAGGACCCTCCCGTGGCGCCGCCTCGTTCAAATGCGATAGCCTGGCTATTTCTCTGACCTCAGGTCTCATGGGTACTCTCCCCCTCCCTCTCTTGATCCGACCACACTAGCCTCCTTGCTCTTGGCCTGTCCTCATGCTAATCCCTTTGCCTGAATCGCTGTTCCCCCAGATAACTGCTCGGTTCTCTCCCCCAAACAAGGCCTGTGCTGAGCTCCCTATGTAAGCCTTCGAATCTCCTCGTGTCCTCTTCTCTCCCTGACTTACGGTTTTTCCATAGCACTCATTACCATCCAACCTACTATCTCTTTACCCATTGGTCCTGTTCCTCCCCTTTCTCCCCTCACTAAAATGCAAGGTCAGGCTCTGAGAGTTGTATCTGCAGCCATGTTCATGACATATTTGTGACTGGGAGAGAGCGAGGAGAAAGGGAGCGAGGAAGATGGCTTGGCGCACGTAGAGGGAGTTCACCAGACTAGGTGATCAGCCATCCCAGTTTGCCGAAGACGGACCGCTCCTAAAACAAGGGACTTCCAGTGCTCAGACCAGGGAAGTCCCACTCGGTCATCTTACACCTGATAGGCCAACCTCCTTTACTTCTGTGATACAGGGACTAGAGGGACAGCTCCCAGGAATGCCACAAACTCACTACCTCCTCATTTTGACACTGACTCCCACAAAGTCAGCCCCGTAGGAGAATGCAGAAATGTCAGCGGCAAGATAGTATATTTCAGTGGCTTGCAGTTGTCTGAGCGGCTCCACCAGACATGTTGATTGATGGCCCGTGTCAGGCCGGTGGGAAGGCTGTTTTGCTGAGCCATGGAATGTGTCCAGCCTGGTCCGCTCCGTAGTCTCTCTGAGCCGTGGACGGGACATGGAAGGCGGTGCACAGCCGAGCAGTGCCAAGCCTCGGGAGGGGAGCTAATGTGTTCGACAGTCAGGCTGCAATTTGAAATCATGTCGATAGATGGAAATGATAGGCCTTATATAACAACTTAAAATTTAAACAGAAATAAATAGTGCTTTCTATTTAGGGTTTTTTACAAAAAGCAATCTTAAAAGGAAGAGCCAGGTAAATAGTTATTTTGTTTGTTTTAAACCCAGCATGTTTAGTTGCCTCCACACTTTGTCTAGTGTAAAATCTAAGACTTCCCAGGGCACGTAGGCGTGTTAATAGACATACAGGGCGAGGTCCACTGTCTTCCGGCCTGGTCAGACCCACCTGAGCTGCATGCCCAGCTCTGGACCAGGGAGAGGCGCTTACTCTCATTTGCTCAGCTTCTGGCTATTCTGGGGCACAACCACCACCAAGCGCCCTTTTCTCCTTCTTCCTAACCGGCTATGTCCCTGCAGCGTCATCTCTTTCCAGGAGAAACAAGGCCACTGGTTCCCATCGTCTCCCCGCTCACCTAACTTCTCCAGGGTAGCCAATGTCCTTAGGACGTGGGGATTCACTGGAGAGACAGGTTAAATCAACATAACTGCCTTTTCTCCCTAGAAGAAGGGATTTGTTTTCACGAACTCAAGCAGCAGTGAGCTCCACAGCATCTGGGAAGCACGGAGCCTGGGAGCCTGGGAGCCGAAGGGCACCTCTCTCCCCAGGGGGTCCCCCCCCCCCCGGGGCTTCCTGTCTGTGGCTGGAGTCTGAGGGAAAGGAAGGTAGCAAAGAGATCTCCCCCCTTCCGGACCCAGGCACATTTGGAGTCTTCGGAACTGGTGGGATCTAAGCCCCGGGCCTCCAGCTGTGTTGCTGCTCACTTTCCAGGTTGCTCTGATGGGTCCCCGGTCCTAGGGGAGCAGTGGGGGTGTCAGCGGAGGTGCTGGTGGAAGGGAGCTGCAGGGCCCCACAGGCCCCCCAGGGCTCTGGGTGCTCATTTAAGGGAACAGCACCTCGAACCTCTGTGCCCTGTGCACCCATCCAGAAAGGCGGCAACTACTGATCGTCCTAGAAGAAAGGAGAGGCACTGGATTCTGGCCCCGTTTCTCCACGATCTGCAAAGGCCCTCCGGCCTCTTCCCCACATGCCCTCTGGATCTCGGAGAACGGATCCGACTCTCACAGATGGCAGCCAGGCTAGATCCCAAGGCCACTCGGTCAGCTGGCGGAGCTGCCCAGAACGCAGCCGTGGTGACCCCACGGCTCATCAGGAGAGAACCCCGGAGGCCTCAGGAGTGTTGGTCATGGGTGCCGGAAGGGAAAAGGAGCATGTTTGTCGAGTCTCTGCTGGCCTGGCCCCTCCACGGAAGAACCCAGCACCCGCCCCTGGGAAAGAGCCCCTGGGACTGAGCCTGCTGACCGGAGCAGCCACCAGTCGGGTGCGGGGAAGCGGAAGGACCATCCTCCAGCCCTTCCCCAGCTCTGTCCTGGGGGCCGGGAGCAGGAGCTCCACATTCCAGCCACCACCTGCTGGAGCACTGCGGTTCTCCAAGTGTGGCCCCCGGGCCAGCACATCAGTCTCACCTGAAAGCTGGTTAGAAATGCAGGTTCTCAGGCCCTGTCAGCTCTGGGTCAGAATGTCTGGGGGTGGGCCCCGCCCTCCATGTTGAGCAAGCGCTGGGCTATCTGGGGTAGGCTGCCCTAAGAGGAAGGAGGCTTCCGAATGGGCCAGCGTTCGAATGGGCCCTCTCTAGGTCCCGTGGGGCCTGATGCTCTGTCTCCTCGTCTGCTTCCACCAGTGTGCACATGTGACTCTCGACAGCAGCTTGGAGCGGCCTCTAAGCAGTCTGCTGAGCATGTCTGAGCTCCGGGGTCCTCAAGTTCACGCGGAGCCTCTTCTCAGTCTCAGGAGCCCCGTGATGTTACCCAGCTTATCTCAGAAACAAGCCCTGGGCCAGGGGCCTCTTGTTCTGCAGCCGCCCATTGGCCGGCCACAGCAGCCCCACCCCGGCCTCTGCTGCCCTTCCCACGATGTCCTCTTCACACCGGGGCCTCAGAAGTCAATCAGCTTAGAAACATCCTGTAAGAGCCAACCAGGCTCGTCACGCATTGCACTGAAATGGACTGGAAAGATAAAGGCAAGGGTTTCCTTGTCCCACAGCCCGCCCCTCCCCAATCCTCTCTCACCCACACTGGCTCCTGCCCCCCTGAGCCCGAGTTCTTGCTGTCTCAATGATTTGCAATTCTCAGCATGACTCTGCCTCTTGGGTTTGTTTAATTAGAAATAGGCCTGGGAAGTGCTTCTTATGCACCGGCATGTTAATTGCTTATCAGAGAATGAGTTGGGGTGACAATGTTTGGTGATGGAAATTTCCACTCCCTCCATCTCTGGCTTTTTCTCCATTTCCCCCCCCCACCCCCTTCTCCTCGCCTTCTGTGCTTCCTCCCTCTCTCATCAGCCTCTCCTGCTCTGTGCCCCTCTCCCCCCAGCCCTGTGGCAGGGACGGTCTGGGAGAGGCCAAAACCAGAAGGGAAAACCAGCGCCCTCTTTCTCCATCCCCCCCCTTTCCTTTCTCTTCTTCCACGCCAGCCCCCCCCCCCCCCCCGTCACCCTCTCTGCTTTCAGGGGACCCAGAGCAGAAAGCTCTGAGTTTATACTCAGTACTAAAAGGAATAGTTTCCCTTTGTTCCCTTTTCCCTCCTTATTATGTTTTTCTTATTTAGCTTTATTTTTTTAAAAACAGGAGAAAAGAGTGAATTGGGTTGGGGGGGAGGTGACACATGTCTCCACAAAGGTACAAAATTGCCGGTAGAAAGTCAACCTCAGAGTGCCGACCGAGCTGCCGAGAGGTGGCGGTTGGGCAGCCTCTTCCCAAATGTCCTTCAAGGCAGGCTGGGGGTCCACTCTGGGAGCCGTCCGCACGAGGGAGGAGAGGCCTCCTTCAGCCCTTGCCCGGGAGGGGACAGAGCAAGCCACTGAGACTGTGCAGAGAAACAGAAGAGGAGGGGGCACATCCTGCGGGCCGAGGGCTGGGGCACAGGCAGGGGAGCCTCTGGGCATGTAGACACTGGGGAGGTGGGAGGCTCTAGCCAGTCCTTCTGTCCCTTGCAGATGCTCCTCCAAAGAGGAGCCCCCAGAAGAGAAGGGCCACGTATTGAAAGCCACAGGAACAGCCCCTGGGGCCACAGAGCCCTGTCTGTCTTGGTCCAGCAGTCAGGCCTCAAGCACGTGGGTCCATGTCACTTTCTTGGCAGGGCATCTGGCCCCGATTGTGTCCTTTTTGTTAAAAAGTAGTCCTAGTTACTTCTCTACTGCTGAGAACAGGCTGAGCTCCAGGAATTTTGAGACAATGGTGGTGACAGTGTTTCCCCTTCGAAGGACGTGGACAGCTTCCTTCCCAGGTTCCAGGGCAGGACAAGGGGTGCAGACACCACCCGGACTGAGGGGGCACCCCAGCCCCAGAAAGCCCAGGCTGGAAGGAGAGGCCACCCACCTACCCCCTGCCTGGGCTGGCCAGTGCCAAGGTGGGTTGCTAGCCCGGCTGCCAGCAGGAGGACAGCCAGAGCCAGGATGGCTATGAGCCCAGGTCGGTCCCCTAAGGCTCTATGGCAGGGAGTGGCCTCTTTAGTCCTGGCCCATACACAAGCCAGCTGGGTGTGGGCATTAGCGAAGGCCACTTGCAGGCAGGCCCAGTACTCCGTGGCCTGAAGGAGGCGGGTGATGTTGTAGCTGTGGGTGCCCCGAGGCAGGCGGGCCAGAGCAGTGGCCCCCTGGCCCCGGAGGGAGGAGGCGCTGGCCCAGGTGAGGTTGGTGGAGATGGTGTTGGGTGGGGGGACCCAAGATAGCAGGATGTGATAGGGATGGGTCTCCTGCACCCGGAGGTCTAGTCCCCATCCCTTGTCCCTGCCTAGCTGCAGGGGAGCCCGGCCAACCACCACACTAACTGTCTTCGTATCGGCCCCTACCAGGTTCTGGGCCACGCAGGTATACAGCCCCGCCTCTTCCACCGTCACCCTCCGAAGCTCCAAGGTCCCCTCGGGGTACACCCGGTACCTCTTGCCTGCACGGGCAGCTGTCAGTCGAAGGCCAGCTGGAGTGACCCAGTAGATCTCAGGTTCTGGTTCAGCCAGCGCCCGGCAGTGCAGCACCAGGCTCTCCCCACTGGCCACTTGGAGGCTGGGAGGAAAGCTCCGGGGGGAGATGAGGGGCAGGCAGTGGTCCGTCATCTCTCGGAAGGGCACCTCCCGAACTGGGCGGCGCTGGAGGTCTGGCGGCTCCGCACACAGGGTGGACTGCGGCTCGATGAAGCGGACACGCGTGCCGGTGGCATTGGCCCAGCGGATGACACAGTCACAGCGGATGGGATTGCCATGCAGACCCACCTCCTGGAGGTTGGGCAGGGACTCCACTGTCTGCCGATGCAAGGCACTGAGCGCGTTGTTGTTGAGCATGAGGGTCTCCATCTGGGGCAGGTGGTGGAAGGCACGGGGGTGGATGAAGGACAGCCGGGGGTTGTTTGTGATGTCCAACTTGGTCAGCTCGGGGAGGTTGACCAGGGCAAACTTGTCAATGGAAACCAGCTCCTCCATGTTGTTCAGCCCCAGCTCCTTGAGGTGCAGCATGTTGGCGAAGTCTCCTGGCCCCACCCGCTGGAGTGGGTTCTTGTTCAGGTCCAGGAACTTGAGCCCAGGCACCTGCTCCAGCGCCCGCCTGGGCACCCGGACCAGCTGGTTGTCATAGAAGGAGAGGCTCTCCAGGCTTTGCAGCCCCTCCAGGGCATAGGTGGCGATCTCCCGAAGGTTCATGCCCGCTAGCACCAGGCTGCGCAGGTTGGCCAGGGGCCGGAAGTTCATGTCCAGGATGGCATCCACCTTGTTGCCCCCGATCATGAGGATCTCCAGGTTGGGCAGCATCTCGAACCAGCGGCTGTCCACGGCCCTCAGCAAGTTGGAGTTGAGGTGCAGCCGCAGCAGGTTGCCGAGGCCGGCGAAGGCCCGGGGGGCGATGCGGTGCAGCTGGTTGTGGTTGAGATAGAGCTCCTGCAGGCTGGCCAGCCCTGCAAAGCTGTGGTCCTCTAAGTGGGTCAGCTGGTTCTCTTCCAGGTGCAGGCTCAGCAGCTGGGGCAGGGCATGGAAATCACAGTCCCGGGCATCCGAAAAGCTGTTCTGAGACAGGTCCAGCTCTGTGAGGTTGGCCAGATAGCCGAGCTCACTCCGGTCCACGCGGACGATGCCATTGCTCTGCAGGAGCAGGGTTTGTGTGCCTGCAGGCAGCGCCGGGGGCACGACCGTCAGGAACAGGTCATTGCAGTCCACGGTGGTGGCCTCGCGGTAGGACGAGCGGGGTGTATACCAAGGCCGGATCTGGCAGGCACACTGAGGGGGGCAGGGCACACGCCAGGGGACCACAGGCACGGCGGCAGTGGCACCAGCCACCCATGCTAGCAAGAGGGGGGCCACAAGGAGCCTCATGGTGGAGCCTCAGGGGAGGGGACCATCCACAGGGAAAGTCTCAAGTCCTTCTGCTCTTAGTGGTTTGCAGGCTGAGGGTCAGCAGCCTGCCAGGGCCCGGGGACCCCCACTCCCAGGGCAGTCATGGGGGATGATGGGTGTGCATCACTTCTTGCCCTCCTGGGTGCGGCTCTCCGTCCTTGTCCGCTGGGCCTGCTCACTCATCGCCATGCCCCCGCAGGGCAGCCCTGGAGAAGAGGAGGCAGCGTTAAGCAGTGGCGGAGAAGCAGACTCTATCCCTCCTCCCTTCTCTCTTGTCTGACTCAAGAGGCCAAAAGAGCTGCGGGGGGTGGGCCCCCTGGGTTCCGTCCTATAGTCCTTAGGCTTGAGTGTCCTTTTCTAGGACCTGAGGTGGGAAGTAAGTGACTGTGAGTCTTCATGGAAAGAGGAAGAGATTGGACCTTAGAAGCTTCCAGAATACTTGGGAAAGGTGTGTGTGTGTGTGTGTGTAGAGGAGATGGTTGTGGTTATTGTCATCTTCAGACTTGTTCTGAGACCAGAGAGACGTGGAGTAGATTCTCCAAGCTTTCTTACATCTCTCCTCCCGGCCTCCTTGGCTCACTCAATAAATGGAAAATCAAGTGACCGTTTGCAGACGTCCCTCTGAGTGGTGTGGGCAGAGGATGGTGAACGAAAGGACAGCTTCTAAAGTCCAGGGCGGGCTTCCTGATCCCAGACCCAGACGGTCTGGGGCAGAGAGTGGGCCTGCCTGTGGTCTGCTTAACCTCTCCTGGGCTGGGGCGCAGCTGGGGTTTTTGCCAATTTCTTACTTGGAGGCAGGGGTTTCCCAACAGCCTGGCCGAGCTGCCAGGTGTTGGGATTAAGAAGTCTGGGTCTCATCTCCTTAGCACTGCAGGTAAGACCTTATGTGACCTGGCCCCAGCCATTTCTCCTGGCTTCTTTTGTTGCCATCCCACTTACCCCTGTCCACAACCTTTTCAGGTTGAAGTTACCCTGACATGTCCCCCTTCTCATGTCTCCTTTTATATATATATGTGTGTGTATGTGTATGTATATATATGTGTGTGTGTATATATATGTATGTATATAAAATATGTTTTTTATTGAATTTTTTATTATTATTATTTTTTAATCCTCATCCGAGGCCATTTTTCCATTTTTTGTACAGACAGAGTAGGAGGGAGAGAGAGGAAGAGAGAGAGAGGGAAACATCGATGTGAAAGGGACACATTGAGTGGCTGCCACCCGCACGACCAACCAGGGCCGGGGACAAACTGCAACCGAGGTACATGCCCTTAGCGGGAACCGAACCCGGGTCTCTCCGGACCGCAGGCGGACGCTCTAACCGCTGAGCCAAACCGGCCAGGGCTTTATTGAATTTTTTTAGAGAGGAAGGGAGAGAAACATGAATGAGAAACATCAATTAGCTGCCTCCTGCACGCCCCCTACTGGGGATCGAACCCACAACCCAGGTAATGTGCCCTGACGGGGAATCAAACTGGACCTCTCAGTCCATGGGGCGACACTCAGTCCACTGAGCCACACCGGCAGTGCTTTTGTAGCGATTTCTGAAGCTGGGAAAAACAAGCATGACTTAAAATGCACAGAGGTTTTGTGTAGGGGGTTGTAGGCACTGACATGTAAACTCAGGGCAAACACATGTGCACACAGGCATGCACACCTGCATACATGTGCAAGGGGAGCCCGGAGAGCCTGGCGCCTGAGCCCATGACTGGCGGTCAGGAACAGGGGAGGGAATTCTGTGGGGTACTATGTAGGGGGAGAAGCAGCAGGGACAAACTGAGCGCCTGAAGGGCCTTGTCATGGAACTGGACCTCAGACGAGTAGTCCTGCTCCATGCCTGGACCTGGTACGAGAGAGCAGAACTCACCAACAAGGAGATCTTACTGTTACATACTTATCACTTCCTACCGGAGCACCCTGGGAATAGTTATCGACTTCTTTGAGCATCTGTTCCTTATGTATAAATGAAATTGCCATTAGGATTTAAGGAACGGAGTGTGTTGCAGACAGAAAGAACTCAATTAATGTTAGTTTCCTTCCGACTCCATTAATCCCCTGGGGCTGGGAGGCCCTCCAACCAGAACTTCTTAGGAGGAACAAGTTGGATCCTAGAGCTTCACAAGCCTCTACCAAGCTCGCCTGCTGTGGGCTCAGTGTTGCCCCCAGGTGGTAGGGAGGAGAGCTGTGAGCAAAAATAGACAATATACATGTCACACCTTTAAAGAGTGCCTCCCTTGCAGGACCAAAAATGCCAAGTGACCAGGAGAGCCCGAGATCACCCATAAGTAGAGAGAAGGCTGGAGCGGGTGGGGAGGGGTCTTCAGCTGGGCCCCAAGCATCTGAGACCCTGCCTGAGTCGCAGGCATCTCTCCTCCAACACCTTTGTTCTAGCACTTGGTGATGGAGAAACCATTGAAAACAATTAAAACCCTCCAGAGACTGGCTTTTCCTGCACCCCAGGCAGCACCTTGCTCCTCGCCCCCTCTGGCTGGAATGGGTGATCGAGGCAATGTCCCTGCTCCTCCCCGGGAGGCCAGGCCTGCGATTCAGCACCCAGAGAGAGGCAGCGGCTTGATGACTCGCGTTCACCCATCTCTCGTCTCAGGACTTGGCGAAGGCCCAGACGAGTCCTCCCCCTCGCTGCTGGGCATGCAGCCCCTCCAGGGTGGCACGCAGAGCTGCCCACTCACCGCCATTGCCATCTGAGGCTGTCTTGCACACAGCCCACTCATGCAGGCTGATTAGCAATTTCTGCCGGGAGCTCAGAGAAAGCTAATTGTCTTTTATCCATAATCTCCCGGGTGAGCGGGAGTTCAGGCTATCACGTGTACATCTTCCTCAACTGGATTCCAAGCTTCTTGCAGCAGGGGCCATGTCTGACGTGCTTTTGGTGTCCCCACATTCTGTAGGACTGAGCATGAGAGGGTACTTGTGAGTGGATACAAATAGTGAAACGTGTCATCTTTCCACAACCCTGCATGTAGGTCGAGAAGGGATTTCGTCTCCTTTTGCAAGGAAAGCAACTGAGGCTCTGAGAGGTTACGTGACTTGTCAGAGGTTGCACAGCTTCTACGTGGCTGGGTCAGGATTCAAACCCAGGTCTGTGACTCCATAACCTGAGCTGCCAGCCCAGCCCACGTTCCCTGCCTGGTGGGTCAGTGCCTGCCTTATCGGAGCAGAGCGCAGGGCTGGCCCAGCCTGCCAGCCTCAGCCGCAAATCCTTCAGAGATGGCCTGGTCCTGAGCTACTCCTGCCTGGGTACCTGCCAGGCCCTCAGACACCGTCCCTAGACTCCTGGCTAGAGTGACCAGCTGGCAAGGGCAACATGTGGAAGACACTGCTCCTCTGTGAATGTGGCTGGGCCTGGAACCACAGGGGCAAACAGAGCCACAGGCCCCACAGACCCCAGCCTGCCTACTGACAGGGGGGTGAGGTGGTGGTTTCACCAGCACTGCCGGCCCCACAGCCTTCGGCGACAGGAGACAGAAAGCCCCGGGGCCACAGTGAAGGAAGCAAGGTCGCCCACTCCAGAGGCAAAGTTTTCTCTTGGAAAGGCTGGCTCTGCAAGCCCCATCGACTCACCTCCTCCAGGCAGCTGCTCTGGATTTAGCAGATTGGGTTAATTGACTGATTAAACTGAGAGCTTTGGAGAAGCTGTTGTCAGGAGCCAGAACTGCCCTTTCCTCCTCCGGCCCCGCCCCCAGCACAGTCCCTGTGCTCCAGCCACATCTAAACTGCTGCCCCTTCAGCCTGTCACTGCCTCCTCCCCGCATCCTCTTCCTTCCGTGGTGCCTCCACCCCACCTCTGGGAGCTGGGGTTCTGGAGGGAGGAGCAGGCAGGCGGTGATCGATCGCCTGGTCTCCAGGCTTCAGTGCCAGCCCCCCTGAGCTGAGAGACAGATGGGCAGCATAATTGAGTGTAGCGTTGATAAACTCCGGCCTCCTCACCGGTAGATAAGCGCGGGGTGGGAGGGATGCAGAGGGAGGGAAGCCAGCCCTCCCCATCTGTATATCTGGCCTCTGCTCCCCCTGGAAGGTGAGCACGGCCCCTCACCCCCATCTCTCTCACAGACAGCTGGGACCCCAGAGCGGAAGGAGGCCTGGGTGCACCGCAGGCGGGGTCGATCTAGTCCTCTGGAGCCTGACTTCCACACATACCTTGTGCAAAGGAGGAGGGCGGGGGGGCTTTGCCATCAGTTCGAGCCGGGCTCTGCCTCTCGCTGTGTGACTCTGGGCAAAGTGCGTAACCCCCTGAACCTCAAAAGCCCAGGCTGGGAAGTGGGGACAAACCTCTGCTCACAGAACAGCTGTGGACGTAAGGGACATGTGGTGCCTGTCAGTCCCCTTCGTCTGCCCCTTCATGTTCCCTCTTATTCCGTCTTACCACCCACTTCTCATTGCTCACTTTTGTACTAAACTTTTAAAACTATTATTGAGGTATAACATTTGTACAGGAGAGTGCATAAATAACACTAATGCTAAGTATACAGCTGAATGAATTTCTACCTTTGTGGATACCAGTATAACTACCACCGAGATCCAGATATAAATATTTCTGTCTTTCTAGAAGGTTCCTGGGAAGGTTCCTTTCTAGTCTTAGCCAGTCCTCGTCTGGAGTTAGCCACTGTGCTGACGTCTATCACCATTCATCAGTTTCATCTTTTAAACCCAGATTTCCCCTCTCTTTTCCATCACAACTTGGGACCGTGGTTTTTGACCCTTTAGGGAATGTCAGAACTTCAGACTTGAAATTCACTTAATTCATCCTTCTACTTCCTGAGGGCTATAGCTTCCCAGGGTCTCATGCTTAATCAGCCCTCCAGGAAGGGGGACCGAGCCCCCTGTCTTGTTCTATAATTCCCGCATCGAGAAATTGCTCTATGCTTTAGGGCCCTGCTCTGACGGGAATCGCTCGGCCTGGGCCCACGTGCCAGGCCAGGACCCGTGCGTCCCAGGCTGCCTGGAGGCAGGGACGGAACAGGATGGCCTCAGCCAACCTCCCTCCCCAAAGCCCTGCTGGCTCCTTGCCACCACCGGGGGCAGCGCTGCTCACCCCCTGCTGCAGACCCCCAGGGCTCCTCATTGCAGAGTTCTGGGGCCCGAGCAAGAGGACACACTGACAGGTGGTCAGGAAGGAGGGGCCCAGACTCACTTCTAACTGCCCCCAATGTCTCTACCTGCCCATCTCGGAGGCCGCTC